ATTGGATTATGTAGTGGATCTAAATGCTTAAAAAAGTTTATAAAAGAATTAAACGTAGTTGTTATTTAACGTTTTCCATCAATTCTTCCTATTTCCACACAATTATTATATTTTAACGAAGCTAATTTTCGTTTACAACCACACAGAATTTCTACGGAAATCTCCTTAAATATGAAACCCTTAACCAGTTCGCACTACCCTAGTGATACGATTCAGTTCCTTTCACAGAACAAAAATTCTCATTTATCTAATAGGATTTTGATTTACTTTCATCTTGTTTTTTAAATTTACTCGTTCCGACTCAAATTAACGATAAACCCTTTATTGGATCACTATCTGAATCTACACTTAGACTTGCGAACTGCATTTTGCAGAGAAGTTTCATTTGAACGTTTATTTCGTTAGCCAAGGAAATGTCTTATTGTATGAAAGCCCGTAAACATTTTACGAGCAATTTTTTTTAACGAATTTCTTTGCTTCACTAAACAACAGTTTTTTGTCACTTTCATGTATTTAAGGCGAGAGATATGTTGTCAGTAATTTAGCGCCGTTCCATTTTCTAAACTGTAGGAAAGTCTTGGATTTATAATATTACATACTAGACTCATACAATATTTACGCCACCTGAATATTATTTACGATACAGTAAAATACTGACATTTCTAGGAACTAAGACAGGATAAAGTTAGAGAAGACGCTTGTTAGTAGGTTTAATTTAAAAGAATCTTGCTATAGGTAGTTTTAGTATGATATATATAAATTCTGTGAACGTCTGCAGCGCTATTAAAAGCGCATCTTTCTTATGTATTACCACAGAAACCCTAGACTCTCCAGCTTGCTGCTGTACCACTGAGCGCACGCGGGCGCCAAACGCAGGCGACGCTGTGGGGGAAGGGCGTCAGCCAGCCAGCCACCTGAAGTTGCCGTTGGCCCGCCAAGGCCGGCCCACTCGCTCGCCATGGGTTCAAACGCTCCTCGCTGTCTCTCTCTCCCCTCCTTCGCTCCCACCGCATTTCAAAAGCCATTGCACAGACAATACAGAGTCACATGGCACTTGATCAAAAAAGATTCGGAAAAACACCCGCAAGTTCATGCTCAAACCTTACATAGCTGAGGTAGTAGTTTATCTAATGGCTTCATCTAAGAGGATGTCTGTTGGAAAGAGACGACAGACCATTTCAGACACGGATCATGTGAAGGGTCGCTGCAACACTAGGTCAAAATGCGCAGTACAATTTTTACGATACTGTCGTACCCTGAAATTTCTGTTCCAGTGCATGAAATTTATTTGTAGCTCACCACTCGCATGAGGTTGGTAGCTTAAAGAGACCTCTCAATCAGTATCCTTTAATGTGGGCCATTATTACTGAATGTGTGATTCGCGAGTATTTAAGATTCGAGGCCATCAAGTACTTAGCGTCATTAACTCGTAAGTTGTGGGACCTGTTTTAACCGAGTGGCGTAATACTCACCGCTGAACGCGTTGTAGATTGCAATTAATGCACAGGTCAATGCGCGTATACGGAGAGGCGAAGAAGAACACAGAAATGATCACGCGCGGTCACATGGCCTTGTGAGATACTGTTGCGGCAATTGCGGGGGCGTTGATCAGAGAATCACTGCCTAGGAGACAACTGTGCGCAATTTGCGGGGCGTGATCAGAGAATCATGCCAGAGAGAACTGTTGCGCATTGCGAGGGCGCTGATTCAGAGAAAATCACTCCTAGGAGAGAACTGTTGCGACATTTGCTGCGCGTATTTATCAGAGAATCACTGCCTAGAGAGAAACTGTTGCGTCATTTGCGGGGGCGTTGATCAAGAGATCACTGCCTAGGGAGAGAACTGTTTGCGACATTTGCGGGGCGTTGATCAGAGAATCACGCCTAGGAAAACTGTTCGGCATTTGCCGGGCGTTTGATCAGGAGAATCACTTGCTAGAGAGAACTGTTGCGGCATTTGCGGCGCGTTGATCAAGAATTCACTGCCTAGGAGAGAACTGTCTACATTTGCGGGGGCGTTGAATCAGAGAATCCATGCCTAGGGAGAGAAACTGTGCGCATTTGCGGCGCTTGATCAGAAATCACTGCCTAGGAGAGAAAACTGTTGCGGCATTTGCGGGGCGTTGATCAAGAGAATCACTGCCTGGAGAGAACTGTTGCGGATGCGGCGTTATCAGAGAATCACTGCCTAGGAGAGAACTGTTGCGGCATTTGCGGGCGTTGATCAGAGAATTCACGCCTGGAGAGAAACTGTTCGGCATTTGCGGGCGTGATCAGAGAATCACTGCCTTAGAGAGAACTCGTTCGCATTTGCGGGGCGTTTGATCAGAGAAATCACTGTTATATAAACTGTTGCCGGCATTTGCAGGCGGGATTCAGAGAATCCACTGCCTAGGAAAAACTGTTGACGGCATTCGCTGTGCTTGACAACAGAATCACGCTATCGGAGTACCTGTTGCGCTATTCGCTGTGCCGTTGATCAGAAAAACCACGGCATATTAAGACGACGGCCACTATAAGTTCCCTCGAACGTGATGCATTTCATCCAGCTGATAGACATGACGAATAACTAATTACAAATGGCTCTCCCGATGAATGTGGAACAGTAGTGCATGCAAGTGTAAGAAATCGGGTAACAAGGGAGGAGGGGACAAAGGTGAGATAGAGAAGATTGCTCGCACTCAATCCCCCGATCGTTTCTGCTACACGCCATTGGTACTGATAGGGGAAACCGTTAAATCATCCGATCAGAGCGGCTATCTGCTTGAATTGTCCTCTAGACCGTGGTTCAATTCGAAGAAGCTAGCGAAGTACATTTTCTACTCGCGCGACTCTTTCAGACCTGTGTCACACGAGAGTTGCGTTGACGCGGGATAAGAACCATGCGTATTAAAGGCCCATTCACAATGCAAACGTAAACATAAGCATAACGCGCAGACGTAAACATAAACATAAGTGATGCACTGAAGTGTTCACAATGTCTAAAACATAAAGAGTTTCTATTGGCTGTGAGACATTCTAGTTTACTATTGGTTTGGACGTGAGAATTGATTTCGAGGTATCGACTGTGACCATCGCCCATATGGCGTTAGTTCTTCTATCGACTTCGCTCCAATTTCGATTCTCGATTCTGAGTTACCGTATTGTGATTGGTTCATTTCTTATGTGTTACTTAAGCATACGCACAGAAGCTTGAAGCTTGCTAGCTTTTAATTAAATGTCGTACGTGTTATGCATATGCGAACGCAATGTGAAGGATTCCGCTTATGGAGGTGGTGATAACTTTTATGTTAACGCCATGCTTACGTTTGTCTGCATTGTGAATGGGCCTTAACAGTGTATCTTATGCGGAAGGGTCAAAGCGCTCGTGTGGCGTTTCTCATAAGATAGTGTTATTTTACGACGCGCGTTGACGCAACGCTCATGTGCAGGGGGCCTTGGGACCTTGGACTCCGCTGAACGACGCTGCAGAGGCAATGATGTTGCTACTAAGCTATGGCAGTATATGGCAGATAGACAGTAATTTATATGTACAAGCTAATGCGAATGTGTAACAGTTCAGCACTCGTTTGGATACACATATGTTGGAAGTGCACATGCACATGTGCATATGGCTTTACGGCAATGATCTGTCATCTCGAATCTCGCAGAGGTTGTGAGACGGCACCAACCTTACACATGGGGAGTGTTACGTCGATGAACGATTATTTCGGACGTAATTCTTACGGGACCGGTACACCCGGGTTTATCTTTCCTAATAAAAGCAAATTTTAACGGACTCTTGTTTTCAATAACAAGTACGGATAAACTCCGGTCTTTATCTGTCTCATGCTGGCTTTAGCCATAGGGTGATGGCTAAAGCAACGCGATTGTGAGTGTGAGACGTTTGGTGTGAAATATTTGGCATAGAAATGCGTTGTACAGACGCATGGTTGTTTTATGTAAATTGAGTGTGTCAATGATAGTACACTCGTCACAATCTCGGAAATGTGTAGGGAAGTGTTACGAGGTTCAGAGGAATATAGAGATTGTTTGGTGCTATAATGTAAATAGCAATTCACGACTGATACAGTTTAATTCGAAATTACAGATTTCTCACTAGCCTTAAAACTTCTACCAACAGTCTGTTCCCTGCTTATCACGTATCTGCTCTTCTTCGTTACAGTAACGTACTTGTCACCCATGTCTTCTCGTGTTGGATACTGTCAACTTCATCTAGGTAAATTCCGAAGAAAGCTCCGAAAATGTTTTAAGCGTGACGCGAGATACACGATTAGCCATATTCGCTCTTGATCCGTCACATGTGCATCACCAAAGATGCAGGAAATTCAGTAGATTTATTACTGGAGATTCGCAACCACCTTCACTTCACAAGAGTTCTTAGGATTGATAGGATTCTACCAAAGAAGATTTTATTTATTCCGCTCAAGGAAGGACTTCGTTCGCTACCTAAATTGCTTTTACAACGTCGTACGCTTTAATTATTTGCAGACGTCTAACCATTTTGATAAATGAATCCATGTAGCTTATCACGCAGACGGTAATTGAAAATCTGCGGGAGAAAGCATGTTAAATAATGTAAGTAAATGTCTTTATTGGTGGCGAGGCTCAAGCCATTTAGTCTGCTCTACCGCCTGACCACTTTAAAAATAATTGTAATACAATAGTTAATGAAGAGGTCATTCAAATAGAGATACGAAATTTGGATGAGGGTGGGGGGTTGACATTGAAGACGGGAATGTAAACGAGGGAGGAAGGAGTAGATAGTAAAGGGAATAATCTCACAGCATTTGTGAGATTAAATTTATTTATTTCAAGTTAGGGATGTAGTAAAGTTTATCACAAATATTTTAGATTGAACGATACGAGAATTTACTCAAATGTAGAGAAACTATATTTTTCTATTTAAATTATATATTCTCTATTTTACGAGTGCTTGTTTTGGCAGGTGTCGAACTGTCATTTGCGTTCTGAGGCTTTCGCGCCATAAAGAGTCATCTAATGGAAGCACCCCAATCGATTCCAGAAAATCACAGCTCTGATAACCTGCATTCTCGGTGCTCTTCCCATATGTTTGGCTTGCCGGCTCGACTTGATGAAAAAGCGATGTTACACGTCAAACGACGCCTCACAATCTACAGATCCATTACACTGCAGATGTAGTATTTACGATGTATTGCAATATAACGAAAAGATAAATTACGAGGTATGAAGGTTTCCTGTAACTCGCTTTTGAATAAGTATCATTAGATAATGAGCGACCTCTTGACCCATGGCGGTTTTAAATATAGACTTCGCAGACTTGATGTTTTTATAGGCCTTCATTTGTCATTACAAACGCGCATTTTGGATGCGTTAAATCTTTCGTTGCATTTTGATGCAAATCAGTCAAAGATTTTTCTCCACTGAGTATGCCATGGCTATCGTATTTGTTACGTGACGCGGTTGTACTTGCAAATACTATGACCTGTAAATCTAATCTCTCATTGACAAGGAAGCAAGTATTAAGGCCAAAGAGTCAAGAATACGATAACTTTAGAACACATTTTCTCAATTAACCATAACATTTAGGACAAGTGTTATTTATTTTCATTATTTTTATTATTATTAAACTTACGAGCTTAGAGCCATGCAGATATTTTAGATTATTCTCATGCCATTAAAAAAATTGTGTAATTAGTTATATTCATAGTTTGGAGATCTTCTAATAAGATATTTTGTATCTCCTGTGAAAAATTACCGCCAATTCAATCGAGAGTTGTAAGTAATCATTAGTAGTCATTTGCATCCACATAAATGCCAAAATATATATCGAGACAGCAGGAAGTCTCAAATTTGAAATAAACATCACGGTATGTAGACATCTTAATAAGTATTTGTAAAGATCGCAAAAAAGTTTGAAATCGTTTATAAAGATGCCTTATTGCATTTGTAATAATAAGAAAAAACTCCTTTAATGTCACGCAGTCGTGGTTTTGTCTCACTTTAGAGTAAAAACCTGTGTATCCAAATAGCGACCTGCCGTAACTCCCTCTCAATCTGAGATTTCAATGACGCTATTATCCGCGCATGTTTTTGCGCCCTTATTTGCATAGATTCGTATGAGATCGAGGTGATTGTTTTGCGACAAGACAACAGAAATTGTTATCATAGTTTTTTCCATGCAAAGTAGGTTTCTTATACAATGGAGCGAATTATTATTATCATCGTATCAAGTAGAAAAAACAGAAAATTGATAACATTAATTCGCCAGTTAAGTAAATGTTAGAAAAGAGTGGAAGCACGGATTTCCGAAGTCAAGAAAAAACGGCGCTATATAAAAAGTGCGCCACGAGCACGAGCTCCTTGCATTGTGTTAGGGGACGACGGGCCGCGCGGGCGGGGGCGGCATGGTGATGGGGGGGGGCGAGGCGGATTGGCACAGGCCGCCCGCTAACCTTTCCCCTGCCGGCGCCTGAGCGGCCGCTGTCGAGGCCGACAACGGGACGCGAGTGGAGGCCCTGGAACCCAGTACGCGATTAAGTGCGGCGCGCTCATTGGCCGGAGTGAAAATCGCTTTACTGCCAGGAAACGTCGTTCCTTTGTTGCCAAACATCGTACCCTAAAGGGAATATGGGAACCGCATTGAAAATCGTTCCTAGATGCTGTGGTTTTAAGACGGTCGATTTATGAAATAGAATCTTGCACCAGCGTTCGTAATGGGATATTTTTGTAGCAGGTTAGTGAATCGTTTTAATCCTTTGAACACGAGAAGGGGGAGCTTTTACTTTCTATGATAATGGATAAAAAACATCTGACCTGTACTCGATCTTCTGGCTGTACTTATCCAAGGTCGTTGATCTCCTGCGAGAACTCTCAATATTCGACATAAATCTTTGGACAAGGTGGGCTATTGTCTGCGCGAGTTTTTTTTCTGTTTAGGGTTTCTTCAAACATTTCTTGCCACTATCGTAATAACTACACTTCAGATAAATGTGATGGTTACTTTTCGGCTTTTGTTGCAGCGGGAGAATTACATTAATAATAATCACTAATAGTAGGAAACGCCTCTGAATGGAGATGTTTGGGCGCCAATTACGTCGGCGCGAGAGGATTTTGTATAAGATTACATTAGGTACAATATTGGAGGAACGCGTAACAAGCCAATAACATAGCCTCATAGCCAATAGGATATTTTGGAATGTGTATATCCCATGCCTCTGAAATCGAGAGCTCCAGCGAAGCGTGTTGTTGACGTTGCACAATCTCGTTCACCCAATCGAAGAGCTTTGATCGGTATGCCCACAAAAGAACGAGGGAAAAAAACGTTCACAAGCTGTTTAAAATGATACGCGCTGGTTCGCAAGGAGCACTTACTCGTTACTAACAAACGTTGCAACACGGAGTAATTTACTTTGCCCACCCAACTTACTCCACGTAAAGGCACTTAAGCAGAGGTTGCACTAGCATTGTAATAGTTTAAAATATGTTCATAGACGTGATAAATACATTCCAAGCAATACCAAACGTTTCTGACTGTAAATGATGTTTGTCACTGTTTGGATGTGTTCTGACTATAAACTTAATTTATTTTAATCGTACCATTGAGATTCAATTTATGTTCAATTAGTGATGTAAATGTGAGGGAGCTCCGCTCGTGTTTACGTCCCAAAATTGGGCACGTGGGTGAATGGTTTAAGGTCGGAAAGAAAGATTAAAAATCGACTAACTAATGACACGAGTTTCTAGACGTATTGAAATCTTAATGTCTAAAAATAAAATTAAAAAAACTTAATTATAATCCTTTTTATTCATGAGAATGAAGTTATAAATAATTAAGGGTAAGAAATACGTGTATAATGGCATAAGTACATTACAATTTTCTTTCTGCAAGTGATGTAGTGTCTTTCAAAATTGAATGTAAAATGCAATATGCCAGGGTGAAATATAAATATTTTCTGAAAACGGGCTTCGAAATCATTATATTTAAATTGCCTGTACAAAGATTTGTGGTGGGTTGAGGCAATACACCCGACCTGTTTCAGGAGCCCTTCTTCTGCTGACGTTGTTCTGCGTGGGTCTGCTGGGCACAATCATCATGTGGACGACTGATATTTTCGATTCCCTCATAGATGATGTAAGTACTCAACTTTGAAAGAGTTCTGTTCGGAATGCTTCTTTTCTACGTATTAAGAGGGAGATACAGGTAAGATAGGAATGTGTCTATTGCCAAGCTCTTCCGTAAGAATGCTCATTAAAGCGATCCGTACAATAACCTGGTGTATTGTACCAAGCAATTGAGACAAGTCTATGCTTCCGGAACTAAAATGTGTTTGGTAGGATAAACATTTTCACGAAGACATATCATTGAATAATTTTTAAAAGGGATAGTCGGCAATACTTGCAGTGTTGTTAGAAAATGTTTTACAAATTCCGTTGTCATAAGAAATGACAAATGTGCTCGTGCTTACAGCGAAATCTACAGGAAAAAGAACATTTGCAAGGAGTTAATTCTCAAATTGTCATGCTTATTACGAAAACCATCTTACGGATCTTGAGTTAGCATAATAGTAAAAGAATGGAGGTAATGTATAAATCTCACATGATTTTTATGTTTCCATGTTAATTCGACATGCCTTTGAAAACAATCTTGCAATATAATGACACCGAATAGAAATTTAAAAAACAATGCAGAGCAAGGGAAACCTTTTGCAATCAAATAAAAAACAACATGAAAATAACACGTTCTACTTTAAAAAAGTATAATGAATTCAATCTATCAAGTACGTTAAAGAATCGCGCTCAATCCACATTGATAGGTGGAACCGTACCTGTGTAATGGGTTGTATATCAACTCTTATTCCAGAAGATAATTCTTCCAAAGATGCGGGGGATCACTGACCGATATGACAAAACAAACGAAAATAGAGTATCTACCCTCCAATAGCATACCTTGCTTCTTCTCGCCGGGTCATCGTACTTAGAATACTGTTCAAATGCACTTAATTATATTTACAAGAAGAAATAGCCTTTGAGATACAGTAATTAAAATGAAATATCACATTGCGGGATAATAGATGAAATATTTTCACAGTGTGCTGAAAGTAACTAGACACTACTGACTTGCTCGAAGACGCATACATACAATTCAGGAATAAAAAAAATTGTTTGGTTATACAGCATGGATGTTCTCTGTACTGAATGTCAATATTGGTTCTAAAATACGGTAAGTGTTTCAAGAGTATATCGCGAGCATGGAAACGCTTGGTTTATTGGCAATTTATTTTTATCACAAAATTACTGCTACGTCTAAAACTTAAGACAACTTGTACACTGACGTCGTATTAAATAAAGATAAGTTTCAGGAGGTAACAGTACAAAAAACAGTACAAAACAGTTTAAATAAGAACGTATGTTTCTTAAAATAACTGATTGAAGCTTCAACCCAGCAGTCGAGCAACAAAAAATTATCAAATTTTCAGCCAGTGTAATTCATTAAACGTGAACATGCCTCTCTCATTGACAGTATAATTATTCTACGGATGTTAGTATTCCATTGATATGTGAAAAACACACACTAAAAGAGTATTGAAGCCGAATGAAACGTTTCGGTGAAATTATACATGAATTAGTGAAAATAAGCAATCCAGTGTCGCCAAATGGTTGAAACAAGAGTTTGAGAAAGCGTTTAGAAACAGATCAAAAGTTCTACTCTCAAAAAATTGTAATCTTTTGTTATAGACTTCAAATGAAGAGCGTAAAATATTTTGAATGATTAGGCTAAGTGTAATAGTTAATATTTTTAATTTAATTATTGTTTCTTTAGGTTTCTTGTAATGTTTGTTATTTATGAGCTGTATATTATTTCTAAATAGGAATTTTGGGTTTTGAAATTAATTTTTCAATATAATCTCCATAAAACTTGAAATCGTTCCAGGAGTCGGTTTGAAAAATGTTCCTAATGAACTAATATATTAAAATATTCCAATTATCTATTTTTGCATCTTATGTATAAAGTTAATTTTATTACAGGTTATTATCGTAGTTAATCGCAAAATAGACTTGCCACTAATCTTGGAAACGTCTAGTCCATTGAAAATTCTCTATTCACATGCAGAAAAAGATGAGAATCATTGCAATAATTCTACGTATTTACTATTCAAGCATTAACCTCACTGTTGGGGAATTTCAGCTTATCTTTTCTACTGTTCCTCCACCTTCAGCAAGGGCAAATAAGTATCGGAATCTTCTGTTATAAACATCAAATGGAGAGCGTAAAATATTTTCAATGATTAGGCTAAGTGTAATAGTTAATATTTTTCATTTAATCATTGTTTCTTTAGGTTTCTTGTAATGTTTACGTGTTGCAAGGGCAAATAAGTATCGTGGAGTCTCTAAATAAGTATCGGGAGGTCTCGAGTAATTCATCCACACCACTTCTCTGAGAGGTAACGCACTATTACAAATTTCTCTCATCGTTTGGACGTGCACTGGCATTTCCTGTACATCGACAGTGTATAACTGTCACCGAATTAAATAATACTTTATTGGACAATAGGAATTTTTCTTATATTACTTTCTAATAGTTCACAATTTTATTTTAAGAGTGCTACCTTTTATATATTGCGTAGTATCCTTAGAGTAGATAAGTGATCAAAGTATCACATCAGCCATGATCGTTCGATTGCTTACCTACAATAAAAGTATCTGCCCTAAAGATCCTATTCACAACAGTAATTCTTAAATCATGCTGGTGGAGCGACGTGTGCTCAACCTGTCACTTCGGTTGCCTTGTTCTGGTGAGCTCGCAGTACAGTGAGCCCTCCAAGGCCCAAGTAAGGTCGAACTCGCAGTATAGTTCTCAAAGGCCCAAGTGAGTGATTGCGTGCGTGTGTGCGTGTCTGCGGCAGAGGCTGGTGCTGCGCAACAACTCGGCTGCGTTCGAAGCGTGGCGGGTGCCGCCCGTGAAGCCGCTGATGCGCTTCCGCTTCTTCAACTACACCAACTTGGACGCCTACCGCCGCGGCGACGACGTGCGCCTGCGCGTCGAGGAGGTCGGGCCCTACACCTACACGTGAGTACCCGCTTCGTAGAATGAGGAGGAACTGTCCGCAGGTGGGCCGGGCGAGGGGGGTCCGTCTGCAGGGTGCGGCCGTCCTGCGAGCGTGGGCGGGGGAAAGGGACGTCTGCGAGGGATGGCCGGGGAGATGGGGGACCGGAAATTGAAACCCTTCCCCCTCCCCCACAAAACACAAGAATTCGAAGGATACTTCTTATAAATCGCTAATTCGAGACTCGCCCAAGCGATTGGGAATCTCAATTTTAGTGAAACATTTTGTTATTGTTTTATCCTTTAATTATTAAGAACGGGGAACTAATATTTGGGAATCTAAAAACCCCTAAACTTTGATTTGACTCTACCGCTTACACGAGAAAGAAATATACAACTAACTGTCCAATAAAGAAAAATCCACCTTTTCGAAATCTGGGACCCACTGAACGGGTGTTTTAGTCTAAATATAGACATTTTTCCTGCAGCACTACATAAATTTTTCTGTACTATGTATGAGAAAATAAAATGTGTGGTCAGGCATTCCATGTTAAACAGAATACGAAAGAACTCGCAGTAATCTCTTGCAATTAATCTAAATTGATCAAAATTTAAACAAAAATAATTCAAGTAGACTCTGTATTTATTTAAAGAGAAGTTCTTTCGCAAATTTGCTGCAACCGGGAAAACGTTCACTTCTCAATATACCCGGACATAAAATAATAAGCCAATGAATGGTGTGAAAGTGGTATTATTTGAATGATATGATTTGAATCTTAACAGCGGGAGTTACTTAAAGAAAAAGCCATTCAGCTCAATCTTGGCCCCTTGACCCCTTGTTCACGCCGTTACTACTCGGTCGCATCACGCCACAGTAGTATTGACCTTTCAAGGTATTACGACGAATAAATTAACACAATCACTCGTGTGAAAATGCATTTTGTAAGGGGTCAAAAGAAGTTTAAGCAAAGAAAGAATGAAATGTATTCGTGGCGTTATATTCTGTATAATCGTTTCCGGAAACCTATGGGAAAAACTATATTAATTATGCAAATTGATGAAAGTAAGATTCAAAAACGATCAAAAGATTCATTCTCTGCAAAGATAAGTAGGGAATATATATTTGTTTCAAAAACCCTCAATACACTTTCAAAAGTGGAGTATGTATGTACTGTAGATGTTACACAACTTGCGTATAAATTAAGATCTTATCATTGACCAATTAACGTTTTCTCTATACTTTTCGAGGATTTTATGTTGTATGCCACAAATACATGAGATTTGTCAATTTGTGGGGAAGAAAATGAAATTTACATTCACCATTCAATTTTTACTTGTTTAACACATTTTTCTTATCATTACTTCCACATTCAGCGGAAATATTTTCTGATCCTGAAACCTCATCAGAGAAATCGTATCTATATCACTACTACGAAACATTTTTGTTGCATTTATTAAGAAGCATGAAACGGTTAACCTTTCACTAATGTTCACAAACATGTTCTCTCACCCCTCCCCATCCCCACATCCATGAATCGGTGATATTCATCATAAACTATGATGCGTCAAATAAAACCTTTTTTATTTTCACTTTGAGATACTGAAATTGTTTACTTTCTCGCCATTTTCTCTGTCGATTACTTCTACACTAAAAATACTTACAAAAATCAGAGGGTAGATGGAACTTAGTAGGTACCAGAACATAGAAGATAGAAAGCAGATAATTCTAATGGCTCGTTTTCACGAAACTCCTTTCGAAACTTTTTATTATAAAAAAGATTAGCCAAAAATATTTTTGAGGTTCGGAGAACTTAGATGTCACAAACGTCCAGAATTCCCCTCTCCACCTTCTCGCATCCTTGCTCGACCCTCTCGCCATTCCGACCACCTCTTTTTGGGAGTGTGCCTATCCCGCTCTCACGCATCCTCACTCAACCCTCTCGCCATTCCGACCAGCTCTGCTTGGGAGTGTGTGAATATCCCGCCCTCTCGCATCCTCACTCGGCTCTCTCGCCACTCCCAACTCTTCAGAATGTGCGAACCCCGCTCTCTCGCATCCTCGTTCGACCCTCTCTCCATTCCGACCAGCTCTCCTTGGGAGTGCGCGATGAGAAAGCGATTTCCAGGTCGTTCACGGACGTAACGCCGCACTTGGTGCTCCTGTTCCAGGGAGGCGACGGAGAGAGTGAACGTAGTCTTTCACGATAATGGCACCATTACGTACCAGAACCGTCGCTCCTACGAGTTCGTCCCCGAGGAGACGAACGGGACCCTCGACGATGTGATCGTCACAGTCAACGTGCCGCTTATGGTAAGTGACGGACTGTAGTCGCTGATAAATTTTTGGTCACACTACTAAAAGCGGTTGTTTCAGGCGTTAAAAGTTAAATTGTTAGCGACAATGGTAAAAGTGAGTTGATTCTAAACTGTTCAGATAATCTGCGATGGCAGCAAAGTACACAAAAGTACTTCTGTTCGACGGCATCAACTACTTCTTCACCTTATTGTTTCATTAATGATTCGTATACTTGAATTAAAATAAACTGAATTGCTGTCTAAAAAATAGTGTATGACACAGATGGTGAAAGTTATTTTATTTTGCTCTACGATTGCGCTACTCAACCTTTCAGCCTAGTGTTGCAACATTTTGCACTCTTAAAATAAAATGTCACTTCTACCACTCGCATAATCAATAACTATTTTATCCATTTTAGTAATCTGAAACCCAATTCGACGGAAATAGGATGAGAGAAAGAGTAATGCTATAATAACCTAAATGTTCTAATATTCGTGGACCTCTTGTGATCAATGTGAGTTAATCACAATTCACAGGATAAATGGTCGAATTCAAACGAAAATGATAATTTATGGGAGTTTCTACAATGTGAATAAAACGTAAGACATTCGTAAAATCACATCTTAAGGTATTGTTTTCGAATTTGCTAGCCGATGAGGGTGTTGAAACTTACTATCAGAGTCAACCCCCCTTTCATTACTTTTATTCTGCCCGACTGGTTATTCATGAGGCTTACAAAAGGCTAGAATACTCACTGCACTACTAATAGCTATTAAGATGGCGTACTAGACAATTTGAACGAACGAGGTAGTTTGCCGAAGTTCCATTCTAGGGAAGGATAATAATGATATTATCTATTAAAATTTGTACGCTTATGGAAAGAAGACTTGAAGCAAGGCGCAAGTCTAAAGAAAGCCCACAATAAGATAAGGGAGATAATAAGAAGAGTAGTAGAGAACTCGCTTGTTCTTTCTCGAGCGTTTAAAACACGAGTTCCATAAGTCGGGGTTGTGCGCTCGAGGTATGCTGATTCACAGGCTACAGCTTAGAATCTGACGACTTCGCCTCGCCTCGCTTCGTGTATTTTGTGAGATACGTTAGGTCTTGCGGGACATCCTACCAGAACGTGTACATAACAACTAGTTGTAAACATTTTTGAAACAACGGATATGCTTCATAAACTGATCAATTAGATTTTTGAAGTATTTCTATCTAAGAAAAAATATCCTCTTGAATCTTCGTGGGTACTGTATTGTCAGGACCGTTCATAACAGTTCAGCTTATACAAACTTGGAAACTTACTACAACAACTTCACCAAAGTACTTCGTTTCGGTTCGAAAGTATTGATAAAGTTCTTATCGGCAAGAGCTAATCAGTACTGAAAAAAAATTTAAGGATTCGAAAATCTTTTGTCGGGAGGTCGCGCCCTGGGTTGACATAGTGATAGGAATCACTGAGCCAAGTGACGAAGCCGTAAAAAACTGTTGTGAAAGTAAACATCCACGCGTGGGCGATAAACCGCGTGTTCACCTTGTATAGGGAAAGACACTTTCCGAAGGACCTTAACTTGGCACCAAAAAAACTCATTGCTGTATTCACAGTAAGAAATATTGAAAAATATTTTATTAGTTTTATTAGTGTTACTTTTATAGTATTATTTTATTATATTTATTGTATTGTGTTATGTTTTTCATACTTTTAATATATTCTTATATATTGAAAATGTTCATTATTGTAACTATTCCATAAACAGTTTTCTTAAGCTATATCTTCATAGCGCGGGTAAGATTAACAAAAGTGAATGCAGATTTATTAAATATTTCGATAAAAAGTATGCGTACATTTACGTGATAACTAAATGAAAATAATTGTGAGAACGATAAGAATATCACATCAAGACAAAATTATTGAAGTCCTTAATAACGGTCGGCACACTCATGAAGTATAGTGCGAACTCTAAGAGGCGTCAAAATGCAGAAGTGTTGGCGCAATGGGTTATAAATGAAATAAACACGCCACCAGTCGTAAGACTCATCGCGTCGTGTATATAGCGAATGTCGTCATATCCCGCGCAGTTGTGGATCAGGTGATCTTTCATGCCCAAGAGTTCCAAGAGTTTCGAGTCTTGGCCGGTAGATAGCTGCAGCGCACATATCACTGTATTGTAATTGCTCATATCACAACTCTGAGCGCCCGAGTCGTTCTCCTGAGCGACCTTAGCACCAAAAGCTGATTTCTCAAGCATGTCAAACGTGTCACGCAGCCGACGAGAAGATACGAGATACTGAATTAAGGACACTGGTTTAAGAAAGAGAACACTGGCATCTCAAAAAAAATCTTAATTAAATCAAATTTCGAATTCCTCCAGGCAGTCATGATCTTGGAAGCATTGGTATGTCGTTTGACATACTTAGAAGTTTCTTGAAACATATAAGCTTGTTGCAATAAAACTAATACAAGTTGTATTAGGAGTATGTTAAAATGCATCTGTTAGTACATCTGAAAGTAAAAATAGTCTCGAGAGGAGCGCAAAAGAAAATTAAATTCGTTTTATACGAGATTCAAATAGAGATAATCAGGGACTCTGGAACATTTCAATTTGAAAAATAATTGTGAATACATTTTGTAATTAAAACGATCGTAACCGCACGAAAAATTTACTTATTTTAACTAATATTTTCACAAGTATCTGCTCTCTCTAATGTTGAAGTACATGGACATTACTCCACAATATATTCTTAATAAGTTATTTTTGCATGTGGTAAAAATAGTCTCAGAGTAGTAAAAGTAATAGTAATCATTTGTTTAATAAAGTAAAATAGCTATATCCCGTACCACTGTATTTTTCTTTAAAAAGACGTATTTCAGTGAAACGCATATTTCTGCCGATGTCTTTAATGGTCACGTAGGGTACATTTTAAAAACTCTTTGAATATCCATAGAAAATTATTTTCAATACGGATGATTCATATAATATTTTTGAGACGGAGTCCCCAACAGAATCACGAAAGAACATCTGCATATACTTTAACTAATGAATTTATTAATTTCCAGCTATTTTTATTAAATCGCTCCTTGCATATGAAACTATTCGGTTTTTCTGCTGGAATGAGCCAGATTTACGAATTCATATTTCTCGTGGATCACCTTCCCAAACCCTTGGGTGAAACTAAATCTTTTAAAAATACCCTTAAAAGAAGCCTGCAAAATTAAACCAAATATTCAATTTCAATTTTCGACACAAACCGAAATTCGCCATTGAACATCACTCTCACACGAAATACAAATCGCTTGATAAAAACAGTTATCCCGAGAAATATGAGAAGTTTTCTCCAACCCGACATAAACTGTACGTCAATGTTCAGAACGAAAAGAAAGAAAGCCAAATAAACAAATCATGTTGATGAAACCGCCTGAACGCTCTTTATAATATAGAAGCTATGGTTGGCCAGCTGTCAGCCCCTCCACCAGCGCCATCGCTCGGCGACCAATCACGATCTTTAATACTTAAAGGTTGCTGCCTTGGAGTGGCGCTAAGCTCAAAGGGTCAGGTATACCGACGGGCGTGGTCTAATTTCCACTTTTTAACTAGATTCGACGTGGGACAAATTTCTACTTTGTTATTCAGATGTGAAATTAGAATCACATTAATTGTTGTCATTCGGAATCTGGATCATGAAATAAATACGCGAATTCTAAAAGTGTTCTTAATCTCAAATTTGGCAGTTTTCCCAATAAATATATTAATCAGTATAGAAATTTGTATTAGGATAAGTAGTAATTGTGGCAGCGAGAAAGCTATTTTGAACAAACTGCCGATTCATGGGCTACGCGAGCTTTACTGCAATCAAATCCGATAACGTATAATCTCTTCAATGTATAAAAAATATATAATTGTCACCATTCCTGTCACCTCGTTACGCTCGGAGAATATATTACTCAGAGGCAAAGAATCTAAATTGTGACCATGTTACTGAGTAACAATACATTTTAATCATTAAATTTGTTCAAAGAATTACGGTTAGAACAGCTGGGGGTAAACCAGAAGGCCCGAGTTCGACTCTCGGTCGCGGATAGCAATTCTATTAACGAATTTGAATATAAACAAGTTGCCCTAATTGTCTGTATTGCAGTAACAAATAAAAAAAATTGTGAATGACTAGAGAACCATGTAGAGGAACAAAACAATAAATATATTGGGATTAGAAACATTGGAATATCGAAAAAGTGTGAAAAAAATCGTGGAAAACTCTTGTTCACTAAATCTCCAACATTTTTTTAACATTTCGCGTTGTCAGAGGACTGCAAAGTGCCTTCCCTGCTCTAAAGGCAGCGCGTTGTGTTGCAGACGACGAACTACATGATGCGGAAGACGAACTACTTCCAGCGCCTGCCGATGGCGGCGGGGCTGCGCCTCTTGTCCCCAGAGCCGCTGCACGCGCGAACGGTGCGCGAGATCTTCTGGGGCTACACCGACCCCCTCACCAAGGTCGCCAGCATCAAGATGAAGGACCTCAAGGTCGGCGTCCTGGAGCAGGTACGGCATGAGTGCGGCACTAGTGATTCCCTCGACAGGCCAGATGTTAAAAAAATCTGGGCTTGAATCGTGGGTCAATGACCCCCATCTCGATCAGGTTTTTCATAGAGTTTCCCTGATCCTTTGAACAAATGCTGAGATGGCCCCTTGTTTTGCTTCTGGACATGAAAATGTAACTTTATTACCTGTGCAGGTCGTCTTGAGTTCATTGGAAAATACGGTTAATAAATTTATCATTCTCCATGCCGCGGCAGAAGTATTCCTTCACGAAAGACATGAGGGATAAGAACCCAAATCTTTAGCTGATTTGCATTTGAAAATATATATTTAATACAACCGAGCAAATATTTTCTTAACAAATCTTTCCAAAAACTCTCGTATTTTTTTTCTGTATCCAGAATCCAACTTGTATATGGCTTAGGGTTAGGGATTTCAGAATTAAAAAAACTTGCACAGAATACGATTCTCCCTGTAGCAACTCGTACACGGTTTTTGACGTAAAATAAAACAGCGCTTTTCGAAAAGTGTGGGTTAAATCTTTCATAGTTCAGGTCTTCACTGTATTTTCCTGAAAAGAAGTTAGAAAAAAGTTTACCTAAAACATAGTTTAACCTAGTTTTATCATAGTCTATACTTTAATAAATGTAACGCGGTACATGCATTGAAATTTTACGTTCTTATATTAATCAAAACGCTCTAAAATGTCTACTATAGAAACTTTTACTAACGATATTCCCAGCCATCTTAAACATGCCTCAAAAATTGGAGGTGCAGGAACCTACTCATCTAAAAATAGGGAATGAAGAATAGAATCTTGGAAGACTATTTTCCTAATACGAACTAAAAGGAATAAATCCCTGGTGGTAGCACTCAGCAGTGAGACCCCTTCCAGAGGTAACTACACTGTTTCGGCTGTGAAAGCGGTGGAAACCCTAGAACTTTGGTGAAAGTTTTTTCAAAAGGGGGAAACGGAGGATATAAAATCATAGAAAATATTCGGACATACAAAAATGCGCGACTGTCGGCGATTTCTTTGGATATGGTACCTCATCGAAAACTGTTTCACTTCCATAACTCCAGATAAGTTCAGAATACCTCACTCATGGTATCAATTACACTTACAAATTAGATTTTCACGGTAATCGGGTATATCTCTAATCCTTACGTTCAAGACTTGCCAATAAAACATTAAAAGCCTGTATTAAAAAAATTAATCAGTTTTCATTGTATGAAATATTGTCTAGTAATTACTACTTTTTTATTCGGAAAAATAGCTTGACTACGTTCTAGAATTAAATAATTTTCAAACAATTCAATACAACCCCCGATCTTTGAAATATTTCAAAAATTCTCTATAAATTGTAGAAAGTTCAAATCATTGTAGTTTTTCAAAACGTCCAATAAATATTTAGTGGTCACTACACGGAGTTCCCTAAGCAATTATATGTACATTGTTGATTACTCTTCAAAATACGATAAGGTTAGATATTAAAAACAAAACACATTCCCTAGCCTCCACTTAGTAGATCCATTTATTAGATAGATAATTGTGGATCAGCAAAATTACAGAGGGGCTCAAGGACCTCGTAGATAACCATTATTGTTGGAAATATCTTTTATGCTACGCTGATAAGTTTCACATCACGTACGGTATGAAAGAAAAAGCGATCGTTGTAAACCCTTAGAAGCGTAGTTCCGCGATTTAAGTTCATCCAGATGTAACAGCAACGGTAAGTACCTGCTAAATATATTTTTCTGAAACATCTAGAAGATTTCAACGAAACAACTTAATGTAATCATCATTATCAACACCCTCGGTTTAGGAGCGGTGCTCCTGACCTGTTAGTGGGTAGTAAATCAGACTCCCTTCATGTGGTGAAGTTTCTTGTGGTGCCATCTTCTTGTCGGTCTACGTATAACCCTATTGCCATTCTGCCTATAATTTAATTCCATCAGTGGTATAAATTGTTTATCCATTCTTTTCAAAAATTTTCTCCATTTCCTTTGGTAATTTTTGATTTCTTCTGACAAGCTTCCTTTTTTCAGTTCGGTCCTAATTCTTTCATTTCGAATTTTGTCCCTTCTTGTTACTCTTAACACTGCCCGTAAACAATTAGCAATTTATAATAGATTATATTGAGAAATCAACATAAATTATGACATTTTGCATTACGCAGTTCAGTAACATAAAGGGTACCGAACTGGTAGCCTCGGATAAACCAGCGAAGATAAGAGAAGGGCCTGACTAGCTAGATCAATGATACAGCAGGTAGTCCATACAATTTGCAGGAATCTTGACAATTTGCCCGTACATTATGTAGGAATTATGCATTTAATTCATTAATCTGAATAATTCAAAAGAGATTAGTATTAACTTTGTTAAGTTATTGATACGTGCATGAAAACGACTCGCATGTCTTGAAATGCGTCTTTATTACTTCTAGGCTGTCCGGGTGACGCCGCGTCGTTGGCATATAGGCCGACGTTTAGCCTGTCATGTCATGTCAGGCTTCTTCGTCGGCCTATCTGCCAACAACGCGGCGTCATTCGGACAGCCTCGAAGTAATGACCTCGAGCCGCGGAAGCCTACGTGTACATTGGAACGAGTCTGTTTAATTTGTTTCCAGAAAAACGGCACCGAGCCGGACGCCATCACCATCCACTCGGGCGAAGGCAACCTGTCGCTGCTGGGCCAGATCTCGCACTTCGGCGGCCGCGACCACGTGGACTACTACACGACAGAGGAGTGCAACCGCGTCGACGGCAGCGACGGCTCCAAGTTCCCGCCGCCCGACGTGCACCCTGGCGGCACGCTCGTCATCTACCACCGCGACGTGTGCCGGCGCGTGCTCCTCGTCGCGCACGAATACGTCTCGGTACGCGCCTCTCATTTCTAGGGCCGAATTTGTAGTCCAAGGGGGTACATACGACGCTGTGCTCGTACTGCTGTGTGGACTTGAAAGGTTTCGAACGGCAACTTTAAAAGTTAAACCATTATGTTAGATGATGTGAGTTAGCTATTATTGATTGTGCCGAAACATTGAAGTGACTGCTAGTAATCAATTTATTCAAGACAGTAAGGACGAACAAGAAATAAATAAAAACAATTACGTCTCGGTACGCGCCTCTCATTGCTAGTGCCGAATTCGTAGTCCAAGGGGGTACATACTTCTGACTGGACTCAAAAGGTTTGACTGCTAATAAGCATTTTATTCAAGACAGTCAGGCCGATCAAGGAATAAATTTAAAAAAATACATCACGGTACGCGCCTCTCATTGCCAGGGCCGAATTCGTAGTCGAAGGGGGTACACAAGGGGGTGCTGTCTGGACTCGAAAGGTTTCGACGCAAACTTTAAAAGTTAAACCGTTATGTTAGATGGTCTGAGTTAGGAATTATGGATGGTGCCGAAACATTGAAGTGACTGTTAATAAGTATCTTATTCAAACACTTGAAAGACCGACAGGTCGAACAAGAAATAAATAAAAACAAATAAGTCTAGATACGCGCCTCTCATTGCTAGGGCCGAATTCGTAGCCCAGGGGGGTACATACTGCTGTCTGGACTCAAAAGGTTTCGAACGCAAACTTCAAAAGTTAAACCATGTTAGATGGTCTGAGTTAGCAATTATTGATGGTGCCGAAACATTGAAGTGACTGTTAAAGCATTTTATTCAAACACTTGAAAGAGCCTCAGGCCGAACAAGATATTAAAACAAATAGGTCTCGGTACGTGGCTCTCATTACTAGGGCCGAATTCGTAGTCCAAGGGGCTGTCTGGACTCGAAAGGTTTCGAACGCAAACTTTAAACGTTAAACCATTGTTAGATGGTTAGCAATTATTAGCAATTATTGATGGTGCCGAAACACTGAAGTAACTGTTAACGAGCATTTTATTAAAGCTAACCGCGTGTTGACAGGTGTTCGACGGCGTGCCGGCCATCCGCTTCCGGCCACCGCCCGACCTGCTGGCCGACGGCGACGCCAACCCGGAGAACGCGTGCTACTGCGTGCCCAGCACCTACGACGTGTGCCAGCCGTCGGGCGTCATGGACACGTCCAACTGCAAGCGCAACGCGCCCATCTACGCGTCCTTCCCGCACTTCTACCTGGGCGACCCCATCCTGCGCGACGTCGTGGACGGCCTGCAGCCCGACCCGCACAAGCACGACCTCTACCTCGACATCCACGAGGTTAGCGCGGGCGCAAGGGCCCATTCACAACGCAAGCGTAAACATAAGCATATGCGTAACCATTAACATGAGTGATAGACTCCAGTATTCACAATGTTCAACATAAACGTAAGCAAAATAAGTTTCTATTGGCTGCAAGGCATTCTAGTTTACTATTGGTTGGATGTGAGAATCGATTTTGACGTATTATCCATGGCCTAGTTCGTCTATCGACTTCGCTCCTCTGTCGATTCTCGATTTTGAGTTAACCTACTGTGATTGGTTGATTTCTTGTCTTACTTAAGCATAAGCATAAGCACAGAAGCTTGAAGCTTGCAAGATTTTAAGTTAAAATCTTCGTGTTATGCTTATGCGAAAGAGTCCGCTTATGGACGTAGTCCGAACTTTGTCAATGTCATGCTTATGTTTGCATTGTGAATGGGCTTTAAGTTTTTCTATTATTACTCTTTTCTTCGCCTTCGGTTGTTATTGGCACATAGGTGACCAAAATAATTCCAATTTGGCGCCATACTTGGAGCGCGAGCATTTTGACAATTCTTTGAGGTTATTTAAGGGACGAGAACATACATTTCAGAAATTGCGCCTTCAAGCTAGTGTTAGTGTTTTCCCCAAACCCGCGGATTCTTTCACAAGGAGCAAGAATTCATTTGCTATGAAACTCTTTGGGCCAAACTTTGCTTTCAAATGGCCAAGAGGCCTGCCCCTGAGCGCTGAGCCGGGAGCACGGCACCTTGTCGCGACGAGATCGCATTGTTTGAAAATCTGGAGCCGCGAGCAGTATCGTAGCGATCCCACTCACTCGTGCAGAGAAGCAAAGTATTGGCCACATTGAAAATTGGTTTTCTACGTTGGCAAGCATTCCTAGAACGATAGTTCATTCTCCGTGCACCAGCGACTTACAACGCCACAAATAACGAATAGAATTCATAAGGAGAAAGTTTACGTAACGCCACGGCACAAACAGTCTCGATTGCGTGTCGTTTTTTCAGAATCTCCTCTTATGACGAGAACACAGTATGGCTATGGGCAGGATGTTCTTGATGCAATTTCTGCAAATGCATTCCCAATCACCTAAGCCTCAACGGTTGTTAAAATTAGTTTTTTTAGACCAGAGCAATTCCAGGGGTTTCCCTCCATCTTTGTGATACAAAGAGGAAAATCATTAAATTAAATTCTTGCCTTATTTTCCGTGGCGAGACTCAGGCCACGAAGCTTGCTCTTCCATCTGACTACGCAAATTCCGCAATGCTCCTTTCACTGTTTAGAAGATAAAGGAGGTATCATTCAGGAGACGAAACTGGCGATGTTTCGTAATTTTGCTCAGAGGCTTCTTTTAGGTTTGATCTTTTTTTTTCGTGATTTAAATCTACAATATGAGACAGTCGGATTTACTTCGCCTCCAAAGGAAGGCGTACGAAGAATTGTTTTCACCTTTAAAAATACAGCGCTCATTGGGTTTCAATCCAACCGAAGATGGGTTTACGAAAACAGTCCGCTACGATACGTTACACAGCTGTAGTTGTATTATGTAACTTATCACCTGAATCATCCTTTACTCAGACCCACATTGAACATCTGTTCATTAACACTTCTCTGCATTTGAAAATACTCCCAATTTGTGTTCGTAATGTGGTAAAAATTGCGTTTTTCACCGCGCCCTCGTCTGATAATTTTTCTTCGAAGTATTTCTCGATATTTAAAATGTGGTTGTGGTCGCAGAGTGCCAACACTGGTCTTTAGGTCAAACGGTCTAAGTCCTTAGTCAGTCCTTCACAGCATTCTTTGTGATCTGGGAAGCAAGGACAGATGCATTGTCATGAAGCTAAACACCACAATCTTTCACGCGCCGTATCACAGGAGTACTTCTCTCCACAGAACTAAGCGAGATGTGTGATGTTCATTATAACAACGAAAGGCAAGGTTACTACTGCTCGGAAAGGTTGTTCTTCTGATGAGTGTCCTCTTGGTCAGACTGGAAACGTACGGAAACACCATTGTAAATGCTTACCTTAAAAGTTAATTTTTTAGCACTAGTATTAAAGGTGAGACGATGCTTAATTGTTCAGATAAATCAGCGAATTCAACAAAGAAAACTGAATACTTTCGTTTGAAGAAATCAATGACATGTAGCCTTAATCTACCGTAGTTCAAAAAAGTGATTTGTATACTGAAATTCAATACTCTGAGAAAGAACATATAAAATTTTGTCCAACGAAACTATATTCAAAACGAATAGTCAAAAGGCAACCAAGCGAAACTCGAAGAATAATAAACATTTTTTGCGATGCCCACATTAGATGCATAAATGAATAGCAACTAACGTCACGCAATAAAATCTAAGTGCTACGAACTATTTTTCTCAGTCCAAGGAAACATCTTTTCAGGACACTTGTTAGCTATATACTGTTTTGTAGGTTTGATCCCAGTAGCTCTGTGAATTTCGTCCCTCCATGTGGAATTTATAGCGGATAAGGGTGGTTCGCATTACGTCTCTTCTAGTCAGACAATTGCGGATTGTGGAGCTAGACAATTTTGGGTTCGGGGAAATGGTGAAATGTAGCCCCCTATAAGAATTAAAAATTTAATTATCTCAAGAAACTGTGTGCGTAATTTTGTTTCGTGTACATTTGTAATGTGAATTTCATTAGAAACTATTTTAATGTTGGCGTCATTTGATTCATTTCATAGAATTCTACCATATCAGTAATGACTATAATTAACTATTTGACGTAAACAATTAATCAAAAATTTTGTTAAATACCGCACTACCGCACAGCGACTTACAAAATTACGATAATCGTTTGCTCAGTTCTAATTTCTATTTCCATTTTCTACTATTTTCCCCCTTTAGACCCATCATCGGACCCTTTAACTTGCGGGCCCCGGCTGATCGCCCGATCATATGTTTTCATTTTCCACTGGACTTGTGAATGGGACTTGTTTAGAGCTCTGTTCTAGAAAGGCACGTGCGTGTGAAGTAAGCGCTAGGGAAGACATAAATATTTATAATGTTTATAGAGGTCTCTTGATGTAGAAATAAGTTTGGAGTGAAAGGAATTTTCAACTTTTACGTGTGAAATAAGTGAGAGAGGAGTTAAAATTCGTTTTGTAAACATGAAAGTCAGAAGTAAGATATGTGATGACATGAATTTTCTGATTAAATATTCAGTTTAATAATTAATATGCTAATTCAATTACCAATAATTGACAGAATTTTTTCTCAAAGTTAATATTGAATGAATCGTTTTTTATGATGTAATACAACTTAGACGACAGTATTTACAATATTCATTTACAACGCCTAAAATGGTACTCCCTACCTTACAATCAACATTAGCTAAATTTTTACTAAGTTGAACTAGAACTAATCATATGTAAAATTATAATAAATATTCATATCTCATCTTACTATTGACATTCATATTTACAAAACGGATTGCAACTCCTGTCTCATTTATTACACACCTCGCACTTGAAAATTGAGCTCCAAACTGAGTTCTATGTCAAGAAACTTCTATAAACATATTAAATATTAAGGACTTCACTAGCGCCTACATCACACGCACGTATCTTCTGGAGAACTAGCCAGCAGCTGAAACCTGTTTCTCGCGCCGCCATCACTGACCAATCAAAGAGCTCCAAATAAGTCCCATTCAGAGGTCTAGTGGAAAATGAAAACACGTCGCACGGTCTGCCGACGCCTATATAGCGCTGGTACACTCTAGGGTTCTCAGTTTTCTCTGCCTCTCGTTCTGCTTTTCCATGACTCTTGTTATGTTTACCACGGTCGCAGCAACCACCAGCCTCACCTCCATCCTCACCACTATTCTAAGAAGAGATTCTTTATTGAGTTTGTAAGAGTTTTTTTTTTATTCTGGCATTCCCCAATCATTTATAATGTTTTCTTTCAATCAGACCCCCAGAAAGATTCTATTATGCAACTAGTTCTTATGTGAAGCTTTATTGCATACGTAAATCATTAAAAAACTAAGTTAGGAGTGTTTTTTAATTCTTACGAATGCAATATATTGTATGCAACGCAATGCATTGTATAAAAGAGTTTCATACGCTATTTTACGGCGTCATTAATCTAGAAGCCAGACTAATTAGAAGTTCATATCGAACCTCATACTTTCAGCTCCCTTGATGACGTGACGTGTTGGCAACCTTTTTTTAATAAATTGTTACAATTGCAAATAAAATTTCTACTTTTGCATTTGTTGATTTGGTTATTTGTATCTGTACACTGGAGGTATCTACCACAAGAAATATTTGAATATAATTGATCCCACGGAGGGTAAAAAAAACCCTTCAATTAATATAAATCTGTTCTAATTTGATTAAAAGAAATCTAATATTTGCGACATCTTTGTACTCGGCGCTGGATCTTGCCATATACAGGAGAACGATCAATTCCACCTCCGCTAAAACATGATCTCCATTTACGGGACTGGTGACCGTAGCAATTTAGGCGCCCGGAATCGCTAATAAAACAATCGAACGTCACCATTCTACATGCTAACTACCTTATCATGCATTCTACATGGTAATTATGAAATGCAGCAAGTGGATCACCATAGTTAACAAGGGATCTAGGGTTACTAAAGTACATGTGTTGTAATAAATTGGGAACCGAGACTTTCATTTATTATTATTATTATTATTATTATTATTATTATTATTTGCTTTGGTCTTGACACTGAGAAATTATTTACTCCAGTGCTGTTACGCATGATGGTAGCTATTGTTTATTATAATTTTAGTGCATAATTAATACTTATTAATATTCTACATCAGAAATTTTTAATAAATCCGAAAGTTAAGAAGAGATTTTAAATGAAGTAGGTGAGGTATTTAGGACTACTGCGCTGTAGTTTCCCAGAAGAATGCAATGTATAAAATTGGATTAAATATGTTTAACGTATGAATGAAAAACAGCTGCACGTAGCGTGAATAACACAGGCCTAAACATTCGAACATTTATTGCCAATGGACAATTGGAATTGGCTGAAGTTCGATTAAATTCATTCTAACCTTTCAAATGTCACATGAGTGAAATAGTATCGTAATAGGGTCGTTACGGTAAGTATTGGGTGTTTCATGTAACACAATCGTATCCTGTGTTGAAAGTATCATTGAAATGTACGTGTCGGTAAAGTCGTTTGATTTCGTGCATGAAAAAGTGAATGCGTACGATTTTACTTCTTGGGAAATGGCTCACTTTATGAACGGAAGTTAGTGTATTGAAAGTCATTTACAATAGATTGTAGTGATGCCGAAAAACACAAATTGAAATTCCGCTGTATTGTGAAAACAAAAACAGCAAACTAATGGTCGGCTTGCACTATCAACGCTCGTGCTTTTTCATATTAGGAATATAGTGTATTAGCATAGTAACGGATACAAAATACGATATAAAAATACTCCAATTTTTGTCTACTCATCTCGGCAACCAGCTTGACAAAGTTCATTACAAAATACAGCCGCATGAGGTGGAAAAGCTAATATTTTAATAGAGAATACAATAACAAAAAAGCGAAAAGACACAGAACTACGTTCATTTAACATTATCAGCCTAACTTGGATCTAAAAAATATTTATGAATTTTAAACGCTCTGGCGTCTCGGCTTTGTTAGTCCTCGTATTGGTGTTTTGTGATAGGGAAATTTAGGTGCGCATTTCCTTAAGTACAGATAATTGGTTATAGATTAGATGTTTTAAAAAAAGTCCACTGTCAAGCCTTACTTTCTCCATTTATATGTAGCATAACGTATATATTTTCTTCTATTTATTCTTCTTCTTCTTTTTTTTTCTTCTATCACGTTTTAAGAAATCTAGGAGTGCCAGCTTGTTCAGGTCTTCAACATCTATCATAGCCTGCGTCCTTTTGTTATAACAGGCTTAAAACCATTTCTCATATTTGGTTTAAAGAAGAAATGACGTGATATTTGCATAACTTTCTTCATTTGGCGAAATCAGGAGAACATTAGAATATTTTGCAAGCTTCATTTTTTGATTGTAGATTTTGATAGCCCTGATTATTAGCTGTTGTTTTGTTTTGTTTTCCGTCATTTTCTCTATTCTTACGGAACGTGATCTCGTATGTATAGACAAATAGAGTAGACAACAACGTGCATCCTGCTTCACACTTTGTATTAATTTTTATTTAATTACAGTTATAATGTCGCGTATTATTTCGCAAAGCTTAACTGCCTGAGAGATTCTGTAGCAGCTAGAAATAAACGTAATATTAGATTCTATTTTTCGAAGATTTGCTTCTTCAGAAAGTTCACCGATCACACTTGTAAGCGTAATTTGTTCCACAGAGGAAAGAAAGCTAAGAAAAATGTTCCTTTGCGTTACCGACAATTTCCTTTGTAATGCCAAAATATATGGGCATCACTCATCATTACTGCCTTAAACAACAGATTTCATCACGTAAAAAATCTCGATCATCCACAGTTTCTTAAGTTAATTTTTTTGCGATTTCCCAAAATACAGAAAATGTTCCACAAATGAGCCCTTCTCCAGTATTACAAACAGAACGCTCTTATATTCGAGATATAAACTTACAGAAAACAACTGAAGACTTTAAGAAAACCGGTTTAAAAATTTCTTTTACTTCAAAATTACGTGAAAATGTCATTTTCGAAAAATTTTACGTGACCTTTAAAGTTCCATCTTTTAAAAATTGATTTCATTAAGAATCAAATCTTTCTTCAGTATTGCAGTTGTAGTACATGTCAAAAAAATGTAAACTTTAGCAATTTAAGAAAATTCTGGGTTAAACGAAATTGAAACTTGTGTATCTGAGAACAAATTATACGAAATTTGGAACCATATTTGAGAAAAATTTGAAAGCGTTGAGGAAATGGCAAATTTGAAAGCATGGAAATAACCACAAAAAATAAAAATATCAATTTCAAATTCGCAGGGCTTAGTTAGGCGGGATCAATGGCGGAATATAAACAGGCGCTAGTGTTGATCACAGGCACAGAAGTTTTGCTATAAACCACATTTTGGCAAATGTTCTGACTACGAGAAATGTTAGAGGAAGTAATTTAATTCAGAAGAACAATAATTATCCAAATTTTTGTGTCAAAATCTCACAAAATTGAAATTTTTTGCCTCAGTGATACAGTACTTTTTCTATACTGTACGTAAGTACTAGGAGCGAAAGTAAAAAGTATAGTTCTGTGTTCTGACAAAATTAGAACAGCTTGTGTAATACTTTCGATGCTCTTTGTTTCAGAGAATGGGGGTGCCTATCGGAGGGCGCACTCGCTTTCAATTCAATGTGCTGGTGAAGGACACCTTCAACAACTTCATGCTCAAGCGTTTGGATGAGAAGCTTCTGCCTTTTCTCTGGCTTGAAAGAGTAAGTATTTACACCCTCTACCCACGTTACTATTTGATTTAGTGTCGGTAGAAACTTCATAAAATTTTCTTATTTTTGAAGGTATGGAGAACAAGTAATCGTTCACAATGTAATAAACAAAAAAACCTTAATATTTTTACCACATACGACATGTTGCAGAGGTTATTTCCCTAACTTAGGTGGTTTAAAGCTTAGGCACACTCGTATGTGTATGCAATAGAAATAATAGTCAAAATTAAGCATTTTCAAATCCGAATTTCTAGAAAACTTCGATACTGATGTAAATTAAAATTGTCACAGAGGAGTTCTAAATACTTCACTGTAATGACTTCACTGCATTTTTTGTTATTGATATTTTTGTAAATAGCACTATAGCACTGTAGCAAGTTTATCAATCAGATTTGAAAGGATACATAATTATCTAAATATTACAATACTATGAAATAAGTTACTAAGAATTCGTGAAAGGTTTTAAAATGTGTGCTTAAAAATTGAACATTTTTTAAAGTTAAACACATTATAAGTCTCTTTGATTTGCACATAGAACATTTATTATGATCTGCATTACTGTAAATAGTGCCATAAATATCATCTGAAAATATCAGCTTTCTCTTGCATATTTTTTTTACATCTTGCATAAGTTGAAATGATAAAATGTAACTTAGGGGAATTTCACTTTAAAGTTTGATAGGGACTAGGCAAAAACCCAGAAACGTCATCAACAAATACACTAAAATGTACACAAAGAACAAAAATAGCATTGCAGTACGCGGTTGGCACCAGAATCTTGCAGAGCTCACAATGGTGGCAACATTACTTATTCCATCGAAATATTTTTGGTAAAACAAGATAAAATGTATCAAAATTTCACATTTAAAAGGAAGGTGGCCATGATATACGAATTTCTTAAATTTAATTTTTGAGGAACTTCCTGAAGTGTTATGTATATAAAACCTATATAATTTTGTTCAGAAAACATTGCAGATTTTTTAAAATTGAAAAATATATTTTCAAAAACATTCATGTGTAGGTGCATTTAAAATAAAATTTCATATACATTTATACAGAATTTTTGGAGCATGTTTTAAACATAATACCATCATTGTAAAAAAACTACTAATACAAAACATAAAATATCTTAAATAAACAATACAGAAATTAATCACATATGCATCATGAAATTTTTGAAAGAGAATTTTTTATTTTAAAAAAATATTGTAGCTTTCTTGCAAACAGAAAGGACATAAGAGAAACCAAACAGAAGGGGATGTTTTATACAAAGTCAAAAATGCTCATCTGTTTATGATTAGTTTAAGACAATTATTTTAATCATCATAGTACAGTTTTACAAAGTTCCCACATTTTTATATCAGTACTTTTACTGCTTGTGTTCAAAATTAAAAATATAGAACCTAATTTCAGAATAAAAACTCGTTAACTTTCAATAATGCAGCAATAAGTGAAGCAAAAAAGTTGGTAATGATTTGATTTCTGTGTTTTTAAGTTTTATTTTATTCTTAAATTTGTTTCCTCCCTGTCCCACATATGCTGCAATGCTGTAATAAATTGTTTTTCTTCACTTCTGAAGGTTGAATCATTATTTATGGACAATAGATTTGTAAGTTCCTGTAATGCTGATATCTTCTTTTTGAGGCCCTGATTAATAAGTTGAGATAAGTCAATGTAAGGGTTGCTCGCTTTTCAATTTTGTTAATGGACAAGGGGAATATCTAAGACGAAAGTAATTTTATTTGATGTAATCTAACGTTTTAAAATTGTTTCAATGTTGTACCCATTCCTTCATTACATTTTTTTTAATTTGCTGTTCTTTCATCCCACCGCACACTCAAGCACTTTTCTAATTAGGCCACCACATAACATAAATTAATATGAGCAGTATTTTTGATCCCTTAAGTTAAAACAGTTATAACCTGTAGTAAATAATAGTGTGGTACTTCTAATAAGTGATTAACATTTAAAAAATAAACATTTGCATTTTTGAGAATGAATCCCTAATTAGTACTACCTAAAATGTTGTTCTAGTGAAACATATTTTATGTTTAAGTTTTGTCTATGTAAATAGAATCAAAGCTTTAATATAAAAAATCTATAAATTAATATGGCGTTCATTTAAAGTCTGCCCTATTTTTCACCTTCAATCAGCGTCAAATTCATCTTGCCTAATAATCTTCTCATTCGTCATGTAGTCTCCTTTCAAAAAAATATAAGTTATTTTTCTAATAAAGAATACTGAATTCCAAAAATGAAGTTTTAGTAAAAATTATTACAAATACGCTATTTAAAGTAATATAATTCTCTTTTATCATTTAAGTCAAAATTCTTGAAACTATTAAAAATATCCGGTGCTTTAATCATACAAGCAAACTAACAAGTTCTAACTAGTTCTACTTGTTCGCATTTAAAAGTTCAAGATTTTCACAGAATTTGCAAAACAAAAAAAAATGCGAGCGTTCCCATGAGGGCATGCGACTGTAACAAAGGTCAGGACGTTGAAACTAGAAGAGCCTCACCTGTCTCTTCTACAAGCTATGGTCAACGTGTCTCGCCGGATGTACGTGTCCTTGCTGTACTGGCTTTCACTATAATAAAAAAACATTGCCACACGGCCAAGATGGTCGTCAGGGATCCTCTATTATATGACGTGGGAAGAAAATACGTATACGTAACATAGCTTACATGCATACGTATATATATCTGTGACGCATCTAGAATGGTAACCAGTTAATAATTTAAATTCGCTGATTTTTATCACGAAAACAAACAGCTAAAGTGATAGGAAAACGAAGGTATGGGACCGGTTCTCTCTCTGTTGCTTGAACGTAATAAGGCCGGTCGAGGTATGTACAGCCTTCCCAGACACGTTAACGATTCTTTTCCGTTCGAATGGATTCCAGGAATTGACTGGATTCCCGCCAGAGCTGCAGAAAATCTTCTACACCGTGTCGGTGACGGTTCCCAAGATCAAGTTGGCGCTGTACTGCATATCGCCGGCGCTCATGCTGCTGACCGGCGTCATCTTGCTCGTGTGGGCCGGGCGAGTCATGTATCGCCTTCTTCGGGAGCCCCTGAACCCCCCCGAAGTGTACGTCATGACGCGCCTGTGACGCTCCTGAGGACAGTAGTCCGGGCGATGTCCTCGTCTTCACCCACACTTCATGCCGACGTCATCCCGCGAAAAAACTTTTGTCAACGTCGAAGTCATTTCGGTGTCCTGGGCGCTGGCCGACTGTTCTGCTTGAAGGATAAGTTACGGAGTCTGAGTTTGTCTGTAATTTGGAAATGATCTATGTGTTTACGAAACTAAAAATTTGGCTGAAATTGTTTTTTTCCAGCCTTCGTAGCCTCTTTGAACTCGCTGTCGACGTTAAGCGAGATTTTATTTTTTTAATCGTTGGTGGAAAAACTTTGTGTCTTTAAACGATGATATTTTTATAGTGCTCAGCTTTTGTTTTAAAACTCATCCCCTCAATGAGTTTAACTGTATTTTTATTATTGCGTGTGTGTCGAACTTAGAGCGAAATGTAGGAAGTATAACTATGACTCTGAAAACAAAAAATAAAATAAAAATAAAAATCCAATCCCTAGAGTAGCAAGACTGAAGAACTTGCAACTGATACTCGAAGTAAGAAAATAGTGAATTGTAAACTAGTCAAATACTCCTGATTAGCTGTTGCAAGAAAAACCGAATGACAAAAGAAGAGCTTAGTGTACTTTTTTTTTCAAACAAGAATTTTTAAAGTTCGTAGCAACTAGTGTTCCTTTTTTGTGCCATTAAACTGAAAGTACGTTGCGTGAAAGAGAAATTGTAATCGAATAAAATGTAAAAATATTGTATTATAGGATACATACATATTACTGTGATAAAACTCGCAGAGAGAAAGTGAGGCAAGCCGTGTTTACAAAGCATCATGCTCTGCTCAAACTAAAGACTAGATTTACTCGTAATGTTAGAATATGTTAAACGAGTATTGTGAATATCGTACAATATAGTTATATATTTAGTAGTTTTCACGTAAGTTACCACTTTCATTGTATACGAATTAATATAGGCTTTGTGCTGTTGAGGTTAATTGTAAGTAATTTAACAGAAATTTTAACAAAATTTCTTATTTATAATGTTAATTATGTATAAATGAAGTAACATAACTGTAGGTAAATTAAATTGAAAGAATGCAGGAATTGTGAAATAAAAGGAGGAAAGTTCAAACTTTATTGTTAGTGGTGAATTTTGTTATGTTTTGTTATATAATACTTAATAAAACTATTTTTATGAATTTTATTATTTCCTGATTCATTCACATTTGATTATTTTAAATCAATATTTGTTTGTTCTTGGACCTGAGTTTGTCAAGAGATTTAAGTAAGAATGGTAACTATCAAATTGATTTCAAAGTAAAAAAGTGACTTTACTAAAAAAAAAGTGAAAATTATAATATATAATTTTCAGCATTGGTGAACATGAATTTATTTCATGATTTTACCAATTTTATAGATTAATTTCTTTTCGGATTTTCAGATTTTGTAGCTTAATAATTCTTGATTCTTCCCTTATTTCTGACATGTATTTCAGGATATGCAGAATATTCCTACGGAGTGATGAACTTCCGGCATTTAAGATTTTATCGTGAAAGTGCGTAACTAGAATATTGACCCTACGATATTTAATCCCTTGCACGTGTTATCAGGTCATGTGAAGAGCAACAATTTTCAGGTACCGTGCGACAATCGCAATAATTGCATCGTTACACGGCACATCTGGGAGGGTAAAATGCAAAATACGAGTCGGCACGCACGCAAGTATTTCACTAGCAATAGCCATATAACTTGCGGATTGCGCAAATTCCGAGCACGCCAAACTTGAGTAGTCCAGGAAACCTGTCCCACTCGCTGTTCTCTTGTGACTCGCAAAGATGACTGTCACAATTAGAACTAATGTTTTGTGAATTGGCTTGAGACGAAGGTTTATGACGTTTTCAGCAAAGACGAATGTAGTTCCGTTTATAAACATAAAAATGTGCGGAGATTTGTAAGAAATATAAACGCTTATTGAGAATGGAAGTACGTTTACATTTTGTCCATCAATTCCAAACTACTAAACAGGAACTAGATCTGAATATCTAGGTGTTGAATATAATACTTTTTTTATGATGCTAAAATACTATTACGACTATTTTTAAGAGCTAAACATTAAGTATTGTAATTTACACACTAAGCCTAATATTCACTTTCAACAAGTCTTATCACTATTTATACCGTCACTAAGCGTGGACTGAGATGAACATACTGCTGCAAATTTAAGCTTTTCAACATAACACATTGATGTCGCTCTAGTTTTGCTTAATGTGGTTTGTTTTCTATAGTTTTTGTCAAATGTATGTATCGAATTATCGCTTCATTCGTCTAAATATCCTAGTAAAATGCATCAGCGTACTCCAAAGGAAGAGGAACCATCTCAATTATATCTTCCGTTTGCATTTCCAGTTCAAGGTCCGACTTTCTCAACTGCTTTACTCGTATCCATTAAGAAACTGTGATTATTGTTAAGATGAAGTTTGCGATTTTTTTTCTAATTTCTTCTAATTGATTAGCATACATGTATGGATATATTACTTTCAAATGTATGGTATTTAAGCGATATGTACTTATCGTAATACATATCAAACACAACATATATCGTAGTTAATAATTTATTGCGCGATATGTTGTTTGATTGAAATAGTTTTAGTGAAAGGATTATTTGTCAGGAACCTAAAACCCCAATACTTTTCATTTATGGGAAGATATTTAATTACCGCTCGTGATATTAATGTTTACAAGAGCACGCCCACCTCCATACCTGTCTCAGAAAACGTAATGGTACAAATTACGCTTATTTGTATGAATGTGTTCCCTTCTTGCTTTACTTGAGAAGAGTTACGAATAATACCTATCCAGCAGCATGGTCGTCAATTAAATGCAGAAGAGGAAAATTAACTGGCATTTAATATACACCACGAAATTCAAATCATTATCCTAAATCAAAAACACCAACCTTAAGGCTTAACCAGATACAGTTTACCATTTTATAACCCTTTCTACTGATCATCGTTTCTAAGGAAATTAAGCCCTTAATTATATTCTTTAACGTTCTTCAGAACAACATACTTGAATTTACGGACATTTTATTCTTCTATGGTAATTATTTGGAAGTTTACAGAATATAGTATTATTTGTTCTTGTTGAGTAATGATATCCAATTTGCAGTTTATATTATTTTTCCCATTTAGGTATTAAAAATTCATAGAGAAATCAGTATTTGTCAACACAAATAAAATGGCGTTTGATTTTTTACATTGAGCAATGATAAAACATGGCTCAAATATCTGGTGACATGTTTTGTAAAATAATGGACTACTAATAATTTTATGCTGCATGCATAATTTTTTCCATCTTCGTACAAATCTCTTTTCCTCAGCAGATAGAAGTTGCTTGAATCTCAAAGTGTATTGTATGATACTATGAAAACCAATGACTCAAATTCAGGTTGACGAAAGATACTGAAAATCACTCTTCGGGAAAAATACTAGATTTAACGGGAGAAGAATCTGATGCAACTTTCAAGTGTGGTGAATATAGAAAGATAACATTCATGATGAAAAATGCACATTTTGCACATTTTGAAACATTAAAATAGGATATATTATAAGAATTAGTATATATATATATATATATATATATATATATATATATATATATATA